GGACAATATGGCATCTCTCAGAATCTTACAAAAAGACATATATCTCCCTACACAAGCGTAGGCGTAGTATTACTAGTGAAATCACGTAAATATTTTGATTCATGTCCGCGATATAAAAAATTGTTTTTATGCGTTTTCTTTGCCCTTCTTTTGACCAATTGCCTTTACGAGGCATAGACCGGAGCACATGCAACCTAATCCACTGAACATAGCTTTGAAAAAGATATACTTAAATAGATCTTTCTAGCAATAATTTAGTCGAAGCTTCGTAGACCATTTTGAGTGATCAGCCGCTGATGGGCTTGAGAGGTAGTCTTATAGATAAATGATACAGTAGACGTTAAGACTGGCATTTGAGTGTTTACATAAATGTAGCATTAGTGAGCTAAAACGTCAAAAAAGAAAATCCTGTAGATGATTCTTCCTGGCAACGGTGTAAGTGTTTTCTGTGCTATAACCATAAATTCTTTGAATGAAAGTAATCGTCTCAATACGGTACCTCTTACTACATAATTATCGTAAAAGAAAGTTAAAATAAGTGCACATTTTAATTTAGCTATGAGTTGAATTCCCAAAAAGAAACCTTTCTACGGAAGTGTTTCTCTCAAAAAGTTGTTGCTACAGTATTCATTGCTTAACTCATCTGAGAACTTTCATCTGCATCTCATCTCAAAACACTCACTGAATTCCGCTAGGACTCATTGCTACTGATGAAAATAGCCTCTAATCTATCATTAGTGATGCATTCATTACGTAACGGTTGTGGATTTTGCTCCAGACTAAACAAAGGTGATATCCCATATTAACCTAGCATCAATCGGAAGCAGATCTTGTGCCGAGCTAAAATGGCCTAATTTTACACCTCACTCATGACGTCTGAATTAAACGTGTTGATGATGAAACTTCATAGATTGCTGGCTTAAAGGATAGGGGCAAAAATGTCCAGAAATGTTTGTGTTTTGTGTTTCAGGACACAATATCGGCGATACATGAGACCACACAGGTAGTTAACAGAAGTGCATTACTGCAAGGCCGACCTACCATAAATGTTGTTTAGCATTCTTTCTCCTTTTCAAAAATACCGATGAGAAAATGATAGTAAGCTACAACACGTTCCGAGTAGCAAAAATCTCTAAGCACCAATTTTCTGGAGTACGAGGTCAGAGATTGCATCAGTAGATGAAAACACTTACCAGCAAGTGCTTCAAGAATAGCGTGTCATCCTCATGATGTTT